TTATGATTTTAACTTTATACACAAGTGCCAAAATACTATAATTCTTAACATTAGTTCTTTATTGCAATAATATCGTTTTTGTTTTAGTACGAAATTTAATTTTGTTTTCAACTTTAACATTAGGATGTTTTTAATCATTCTGTTTTCCCCATGAGCTCTTTTTTACTAAAGTATAGGATATTCCTTTACTATTTAGGATCATTCATCTTTTTTGTGCCTAAATTCTAGCTAATCCGTTAACAGCACGTGAATGTTCTTGCTAGGTGTTTGTCTTACAGATATAGCCTACTGAAAGGTCATGGCAAGGTATAATTTGATTGGTGACAAGAATATATCGCAGGAGACAATTTAGAAATTGCTTTAATCCAACCAACGGATAAATTACGAACGTCACTCCAAAGCTGAATTCCCCTGTTTCTTGGTGTAAATTAATATAATTTGATAATTGTAGAAAAAAAATCGTACTTCGAATTATTTCAATTTCAAGTTACTTTTACACTTACAATGCACTATTCATCTCCCAGAAAGGAATGAATGTACACGATTCAAGACAAAACCTTCATCACATTATGAAATGTAGAATCAATCAATGGAGTTCCAAAGACATATATGGCCCGGCATGGCCAGGTGGATAAGGCGCTCGACTCGTAATCTGAGGGTCGCGGGTTCGAATCCCCGTCCTACCAAACATGTTCGCCCTTTCAGCCGCGGGGGCGTTATAATGTGACGGTCAATCCCACTATTCGTTCGTAAAAGAGTAGCCCAAGAGTTGGCGGTGGGTGGTGATGACTAAGCTGTCTTCCCTCTAGTCTTTCACTGCTAAATTAAGGACAGCTAGCGTAGATAGCCCTCGTGTAGCTTTGCGCGAAATTCAAAAACAAAACCAAAGACATAGAAATATAAAATCATTAAAACAAGAATAAACAATATACAAAACAACACACACACAAGCTCAAAATTATGAACCACACAGCACACAAAGAAAAACACCATTGCTACCTACACCAAACCATCAACAAAATGGCAATACAAACAAACAGTCTACAGCACAGACATTCGCACAAGCATTAAAAACCCACACCCGAACGGAAACAACTACACAAGCACAAGAAGAGAAAATCAACACAAAAACTAAAGAAACAACAGAACACATAAAGATACGTATAGTTACACCTCCTAAAACACAAGAATTCATAAACAAATCAAAAACATATTAAAATTATCGTGGAAAAATATAACAGCCCTCAAAACGAAGACGATATATTCACAATAATCACAAAAACAGCAGCACAAGAACTATCTTTATTATTACCACACTTACTACTTC